GTATCAAGTGGCGTATCTCCCTTGACAATCGGGCTCAAAAAACATTCAGCTTTTCCGTGCTTTCGCTCCGCCAGAATACATGGAATACAATTTCGCAAAACGCCTTCGACCTTGAGGCGCAGGTTAGGAATCCAGTAGTCCTTTCTCACTAGTGCCTCCATCTTAACGATTCCAAAATGTCCTTGCTCGTGCGTCTTCCTAATTACCTGCGACTGCATGGCCTTAGGAACGACCAGCCATATCGCCATCGTCCTCCTTGTATAGCAATCCATCACGAATCAAGTAACCTTCTGAATGATCTCGCTCGATGGCCTTGAATATTTCCTTCAAATTATTATCCGCGCTCTGAGCTTTCTTTAATCGCGCAAGCATTCCTCTCTTACATTCGCTCACTATCAAACACATTGGCAGAGGATTTCGGCTGAGAGCATCGACATGCGCCATATTTTTGCCCGGCCTATGCTCTATTTCATATTGAAATTCCTCTAACAATAATGCCCATCTAGCCACTCGCACGCAGAAGTGTTTCGTTTTGTCATTGTTTGCGCAAACGCTCGACAATCTGTTATAATTTTGAATTTTATCCCTAACAAGTACGCGCAAAATCGCTTTAATGCTTTAACTGCATTGCTAAAACTTCAAGTTCGTAACTCGGATATTTCTCTTCTGCCGTCTTGCCGCTCGCATAATATACCGGATGCAGCAATTGATCCGTACTGTCTTTTTGCAGAAGTATCGCTCCGAAACCGTACATGGACGCGTCGGCATGCAGCTCGGTTTCTGCGCCTACTCGAAATAAACTTAATACTGGCCTCTCACTTAGCATGACCTTTAATCGCTCGAAAGCATTTCTCTCAGCTGCACCGAACTGAAACCTCGCATCCATTTTCAATTCGACAGCGGACGCGCACCGTACTATAACTCGGGATAAATTTTCGGAAATAGCCGCTCAAGCTCAAAAAGGATTGCACCTGTCGCGTGTTTTGAGGTTCCGGAAAACCTAAAACCGCTTTAATTTTTCCTTCTGATGGCCGTATCGTGCCGTTTTCGACGATGTGTCCAAGGAATTCCACCACGCGACGCAAAAAACAACATTTTTCCCAGTTTATTTTTAAACCGGCTTGACTCGCGGTATCGAAAACAATTTTCAGATTTTTCAATCCGTCGTCTTCATTTTTTGAGAGTACAATTAAATCGTCCATATACACTGATACAATTTTCTGCTTCATAAAATCTCTAAAAGTTGCGTTAATAAATCTTTGAAAAACGGAAGGAGAATTACACAAACCAAAGGGAACTCTTAAAAATTCGTATTGTCCGTCCGGTACAATAAAAGATGTATACTTCACACTTGACTCGTCCATTCGCACGTGGAAAAACCCGTTCTTTAAATCGATTGTACTAAAAACTCTTGCGTCCTGCAATTGATCTAACTGATCTTCAATGAGGGGAGGAGGGTATCTATCTTTAATTATTTTTTTATTTAACATTCTATAATCTACACATAATCTATGTAGACCATTCTTTTTCTTTACACGAACAACGGGACTCGCAAAATCAGAGACGGACTCTCGGATTATACTCTCTCTCTTCCACTCATCGATTTGAGCATTTACAATATCTCTTTCGTACTGCGAAAGTCGTCGAGCTTTCTGGTAAACAGGCTCTTCATCCTTCAAAATGATCGTCATTTTGATATCTGTTTCTCGCGTTTAAACCGGCTTATAATTGTGTACCAAGTTTTCCACAACATGCTTGTGCTCAAGTTCAGATAAGACGTCGACGTCTATTGTACTTGGATCGTGTATAACATCAATCATAAACATCTCGGGTCGCGTCCTGCTGCCAACCGTTAACTCGCGAACCGGATTTATTGAAATTACGCCCTTTTTCAAATTAATTTCTACCGTATCGATAAAATCTGCACCGATAATCAAATCACACGGTATAATATCATCGGGCGCGGACTCGGATAAATATCGGATATACTTGCCCGTCGATCATAATGTTCGCCTGAAATTCGCCTAATATTTTCGCGCTGAAACCGCCTATTCCGCAGAACTCCATATCCGCCGCTCGCATCTTCGGTGATCCCATCATCGTATATTTATTCGATCGTAGTATCGATATATCGCTTCAGGTGTCTATCAGCCGCAATGACTCGGCCGCTTAATGTCACTTCTTGCAGATATTTTTTACGAGGCATCCGCGAGACCAACGCAACAACAGATTTTTCCGCATCGCCATTATTAATTTTCTTTTTACATTTGGAAGCTATATGACCACGCGCGCCGTATCCGAAGCATTTGATTCCTAAAGTTTTTGTCGGGCAATTTACACCGATGTATTCGCGTTCGCCACAATTATAACACCGCTTATCGTCTATTGGAGTTTTCCTCCTTTTGTCGCTTACCCCTTTATTCAAGTCACCGCTATGCCGACTTGAATATATCGCTTCTCGATTGCGCAACGTTACCCTTTCAAAAGCTTTTAATAGGCTCTCCACAGATGAGAATCCCTGGATGCGTACCTGATCGCGCATCATGATGTCCGGTATACCCTCTATAACATATTCCAGTAGTTCGTCCTTCTCGACCGGTACTTTGTTGCCCATAATGGTTTTACCATGCAGATACTCCTGGAACGTCTCGTCCTTCTTCCACGTACGATTCTCAAATTGTCTCCGCAAATATAGTTTGCTCTCATGATGTCGAAACATAGTTCCCAACTCCTCTAGAAGCCTCTCGAAGGACATCTCAATGTACTCCGGCCTCGAATGAAACCATTCGAATGCTCGTTTTTTTAACCGCAATCCAATCAAAAGCTTCGCACAATCGTCATCTAGGCGATATGTCGCCTTCAGAAATCTTAGTCGCTTTTCCCATGTATCGTAATTATTAGACACGCCGTCAAAACCATCCAATAGATCAGTCACCGTCGTTAAATTTACTCGTGGTCGTGTGCGAGACATCTCTCCATCGCCGAACATCGTCACTTCCATCGCTCCACCGGCAGGATTTCTCTCTAATTGTCCGCTCAATTGTAAAATTTCACGCCGTGCGGGATAAAGCTCACGCTCAGCAAGCTCTCTTTCTCGCTTATAGAGCTCAATCTCTCGTCGTTGTATATCCTCTCGCGATGCGCTCTCTCGCAACGCGTTCTCTCGCAAAATGCTCTCCTGCGCTTCACCCTGTCTATCCTCGACACCACCAGACGCGATGTTCTCCATCCAGGAACTCGTTGGATCAGCCCCTTGTAAACGTAGAATCAGCTCCGATTTGGCACCTGCTGTTGACAGTCCGCGTGCCTTCAGCTTCTCCTTCAATCACAACCGTTAAATTACTTTGTTCAGACATTCTTTCACTATCTTTCGCCACATGTTCACTTCCGGAAAGATCGAACCTTCTCGATTCCGAACCTTCTCGCCGCCTGTTATATCCCGGACGAGCCCTCAAAATTGATGTAGAATAGTGTTTTATTAAATTAAAATTCGGTATAAAATATATATATATATATATATATATATATATATATATATATATACAGGGTGTCCCATTTTAATCCATCCAATCGAATATCTCGAAAACCAAGCTTGAAAGAGAAAAATGTTTCAGACAAAAGTTGGTTTCAGACAAAAGTATGGTTTCTAGGGGGACATAAGATGGTACCATTGGTTTGACCTTGAAGAGTTATTTGAAGGTCACATGAAGGTCACCTTCAATTTCTTAAATGGAATCTACATTTTCTCATTACATATTCTTGTAGCTTATCTCGAGAGCTTTCCAAAACACTATAATAAAATATTTTTTTATTGAGTACTTTTCGAGTTATGAAGCTTGAAATCATTTCTTAATTTAACATAAACCGTAATATATCTAGTAAAATATTCATTTTTCGATTATCTTGCTTTAATACTTTTATGTACAAAATAATGAGAGGAATCAATTGGTGTAAAGAAAACACATAGTTATTTTTAAGAAAAAATATGTAATTTGCAATTAACAATTACATATTTTTTCTTTGAAACAACTATGAGTTTTTTTTACACCATTGATTTCTCTCATTATTTTGTACATAAAAGTATTAAAGCAAGATAATCGAAAAATGAATATTTTACTAGATATATTACGGTTTATGTTAAATTAAGAAATGATTTCAAGCCTCATAACTCGAAAAGTACTCAATAAAAAAATATTTTATTATAGTGTTTTGGAAAGCTCTCGAGATAAGCTACAAGAATATGTAATGAGAAAATGTAGATTCCATTTAAGAAATTGAAGGTGACCTTCATGTGACCTTCAAATAACTCTTCAAGGTCAAACCAATGGTACCATCTTATGTCCCCCTAGAAACCATACAACTTTTGTCTGAAACATTTTTCTCTTTCAAGCTTGGTTTTCGAGATATTCGATTGGATGGATTAAAATGGGACACCCTGTATATATATATATATATATATATATATATATATATATATATATATTGTATATATATATAACAGGCTATATACGAGACAAAAACGAAATTCATAGAACTCTCTTTCTCTCACGCTCAATATCTATCGCACTGTCTTTTCTGTCCTTACTTCTCGCATAATCGATACTCTCGCTCGCGCGTCTCTCCTTTTACTCTCCTTACTCGCACGTATAACGCGTGTCTCGTTATTATTGGTCGATACCAATGATCGATGCCACACGCGCGACAACCGACCACTAAATCCAACATCTTACATATATATATATATATAATCACAATTATAAAATTTCGCTTCGATTACTCAAAAAATTAGATATATCATCATATTATTTGATTTTGTACAATCATGAAAACGGATGTGATATTTTTTAATAATAATCGAAATTGTATGGAAAGTAAGATTACAAAATTTAATTTTCATTGATACATGTAACATTAAGATTAAACCTAAAAATAATCAGATCAGAATCAATTTAGAAATATCCTAGAAATATTTCTTCTACATTAAGATTTATTGAGTCGTTTGGAAAATAAGATAAGCATTAATTTAAGTATATCGGCTAAATAGTATCGACTGGACTTAGTAAGGCATCTTCTATGTTCTTTTTTAATGCTACAATATTTTTCAGACAAAATTTGAAATTTGGTCTAGCATCCGCTGCACTCCAGCAATTTAGCATCAACTGATACAATGGTGACGGACAGTTAAGAGTCATCAGCAACCTGCCTCCAGCACGTACATAATTTACCACTTCTTCAATAGCCTTGGCACTATAAGGTTGCTCACCTGCAGCTGGTAACTCACCCAACGATGTAATTTCCCACATTAATACTCCAAATGACCAAACATCGCTTTGAGAAGTAAATTTTCTGACCATCAAAGATTCGGGTGCCATCCAGCGAACAGGAAGCAAACCTTCTCTTTCCTAAAACATGATTTTAACAAACCTTTAATTTTCTGGTTCAAGTTGTTCATTTTTAGAATATGTGTAAAATAAAAAAACGTTTATTTATTTCTTGCTGTATATAAAAAACTATTTATATTCTATATTACTTAAAGAAACAATGCAGTATACTATTATGATAAAAAAATGGAAAGTATTTTAAAAAGAATTCAATTTTTAAAATCATTTCATAATTGTATTTACCAAGCGATAATAATCATCCTTGTAGATATCTCTAGCTAGTCCAAAATCTCCAATTTTGATGACACGATCCTCGCGATTTCTCGAAGATACTAAACAATTGCGACACGCTAGATCTCTATGTACGAAACGCAACTCTTCCAAGTAACAACATCTTCGCACATGGCGAACAAATCTTGCAAACGCAGAGCATGCGAATTTGACGTTTGCAAATTTCGACATTCTCTCAAATACTTTAACAGGTCACCAATTTCCATCAATTCCAACACTAGTAACGGAGAATCTCCATCTAAACAAACCGCCAACAGTCTTAATATATGTTTGTGTCGAAAATGATTCATAAGCTTGGTTTCCTTTATCAATTTCTTTTTCTCATAGGAAGAAGCATCTTTTCGAAGTGTTTTTATTGCAACGGATATCTCTGTACCCGATCTTTCTATGTTTTTCACCTTTCCTTGAAACACCTGCAAAATATTTCACACAAATTTACATACGTACTTCATTAGAAAATGTGTATAGTTTAATGTCAAGTAATATTATATTTTACTTTATATTAAATAATTTAACAAACTATATAATAAAGTGCATATTTGTTGTCTCATCTAAATTTCATATTACTTATAATCTATTATAAAAATTTATGTAATTTATATCTTTATTAGAAAATATATATCTGTTTTGTTGATCCAGAAATTGTTTTGAAACATTGCTTGAAAAGATTAATTTTTACCTTTCCGAATTCGCCGCTACCAAGCTTTTGTAAGTGTAATCTGTTTACGTGCGACTACAATTATCGCACATTCATCCGGATTATAATGTAACATAGGACTGAAAATCATATTGAATTGAGTGTTTCGGCAAGGTAGAATCGCCAATTCCATATCGATCATTGTTGAAGACAAAAATTGTTTATTATTATCTCTGCATTGACGATGAACTGTTATGAAATTATGTAATAACATGTATTATAAAATCTATTGTTTTTTTAGTAAATTTAATTTTTCGTTTAGTACAATTAAATTATTATTCGTTTTATATAATTAAATTATTATTTTTAGTAAATTTCTAGATATTTTATTAGATATATATATATATATATATATATATATATATATATACATATATAATATAATCTACAAATCAAGTCGATAGCCAAATCAAACATACTTACAATAATAAAAGTAGCAGACGCAGATTATAGTAACTATAACGATAAAACTTAACATGAATAATAAGTAATATTTTTTCACTATTATTCCAGGAATATCTATATTAAGCAAAAATATAATTTTAATATTTTCGTCTGTGTATGTTTTTACACATTTATTTTTACTTATAACTTTAATACAAAATATAATTTTTGGTCTATTCATTTATCTAAAAAAATTAGAACATAATATCTGTGCAGCACAGAATGTTACAACTACTTTGCAACAATATTGCAATATTACAAATATATTTTCATTTTATTTACGAATACGATATAAATCCTCAAAGATAATATATCTTTTTATTATAATAGGAATAGATACTATTATATCTGTCATTATATTTTTCTATGCATTTTTTATGTATTTTTCACATGTAAATACAAATATTAATTTCACAAATAAATATAATTATAACGAATTTTTTAAATTTTTAAATAAAAATATAATTAGTAATGTATTATTAATTCTATCACTAATATATATATGTGTATAAAGTACCCATTACAAGAGTATATAAACATTTAAAATAAGAAAAGTGATTTGTAAGTAAGAGTTTAAAGTAATTTTGTATAAAAATATAACATTTTATGTTGTGTATATGATTATGTTTAAATACAATTTTGCAATATATTATCTTAGATATTGCAAACTTCTATTTATATCGAGCTTTTTAATTTAATTAAATGTTTCCAAGATATTTATCCATCAAAAACAAAAATATGGTTGCAATAACATTGCATTTTTTCCAATATATTACACTATAATATTATTACAATGTTTCATTGGAAGAAAGGAATAGCTTAACTTCATCACAGTCTTATAACAATAACACAGCAGAGTTTCGCATTCGATTTGCAATATTGCAATGTTTTAATAAAATTATTTTTCAATATATCCGTAGCTTTATTGTGCTGTATGAGTATTTGCTTACCACGTGTGCTCTCATGTGTTGAAAAAATAAATCTTTCATCAGTCGGCCATATAAAAGTTTCCTCATATTCGTGGTATGTCAATATCAAGCGAAACTTGTATAAAGAGCCCGATTAAAGTAAATTTTTGACATGGTACATTACTTCATTGTTATAATTTACTTTAAAATAATTTGTTGTTTGCCACTTTTCTGCTGCAATCTCTTTGTATTCCAGTATACAAAAGATCGTCAGATTAATGTTGGAGATCCATGAAATGTTCATGCTATTTATGTTGATCCCGCTCAAAGTAATATTGTTTGGTTCTGAGGATATGTGAACGATCTCGTTTAAACTCTCGTTGTAGAAATCGCTGAAATTAGTTGGATACACACGCACGTATATCAAGTAATTTTGTACTGGTTCCGATAAGTTAATCTTTGTGAAAAATCTGCCATCTGCCATACGTTTCGGCACATTGATAAATTGTTTACTCTTTTGTTGCGTGTCGTTCACTAACTTCCAATGCACTTCGTAGTTGACGCTCACGCAGTTAAATTGCTTGGGTGGCATCCAATGAACTACTGTTATAGGAGGCGTCAAAGCTAAAACACTTATGTTTTCTGGTGCATTAAGCTTGCCCGAATTAGTGTTTAATGACATCACATTCGAATTGATTGGATTTATTGATAATTGATCAAAGTAAAAATTGCTTAAAGTAAACTTCAACTTGTACTCTGTAAATGGTGTTAAGTTCTGAATCTCGTAATATCGCTCGCTCGTCAGCACATTGAATTTCTCAGACTTGTTGAGATTGTTGTCTAAACAGCTTACAGAGATAGTATATATAGTAGTTGGTAAATTATACTTTTTGCATCCACTCTTTACAACCGGCTCCGGAAAATTCACAATGATGCTGTTTGTCGTTGCATTCACATTCTCAAAATTGTAAACTTTTTCGTAAGGTGTCAGACATCTCATTGAAGGATATGGTTGTAAAGATTTATCAAAACCGTAAATTTTTTTTTTTTAAATTGATATTTAACTTCATTATTTATTCTTGTTATCTTTTCAACATATTAGGCTGCATTTACGCTCTTGAGACTTGCATATTTCTTCTTCAAAGCGTATACAGCGTATCCAGAATTAAAATCATTCCAAACAATTGCTAAAATGTAAATGTTTGTTTTGTCAATCGTCATAGATCGGAAGGCGATGTTATTGCTTATGTTTTCCACGTGTAAAATCATATTGCACATAGAAATGTTAATGTCTGTTACAATTACGTATTTCTCACTTAACCAGTAAATTAACGGCTCCTCATTATTCATGTCATCAATTATTATATCATCATAATATTTTATAGAATGAAGTTGATAAAAGGATGTATTTATCTTAACAGGTTGCTCGATTTCTTCATCGAGATGATATTTCACTATACTATATTCTCTCATTGCCTTATTATTGTATACTATGTACGTTCCGTATAACATTCTAAAAAATATGTAATTATTTTACTCATTATAAAACATTATTTTAACACAGAATTACTTAACATTAATTAAACAGTAATCGGAATTGAGGAGCTAATATTATACAATAATGTTAAAGTCAATAAATAAGAATAGATTTAATAACGTTATTCTGTACTATATATGTTCCGTATAACATTCTAAAAAATATGTAACTGTAATATTTTACTCATTATAAAACATTATTTTAAGGCAGAATTGCTTAACATTATTTTAAAACAGAAACTTATATGTAGTAAAAATTCGAAATTCTTATAATTATATAACAACTTAGTATATTTTTTACTTATGATTTTAATTATAAAACCACGTAAAATTATAGAAAAATTACAAATTTGCATAAATCATTAATGAAAAATTATTTTCTCAGGTGAACGATAGTAAACGTACCCCATAGACGGTGATACACTTAAATGGAGAATATCATTTTGCGATTCGATAATCTCATCAAATTTAATTATGCCATTTTCCCACATTGTTAAGTCGAACTTTACAATATAATAATAGTCTGAACTTCGATAGGTGAAATATAGATTTCTTGCTACCCAGTCAATGCAAAGATTATATGGATAATTATCAAAGCTAGCTATTTTTGTGATATTATTTTCATTAATCTTCAATGTCATTAGGTCACTTCGTGTTAGCCAATAAATTCTATGGTCCTGTATCGAATAAGCGGCATGTGTTACTGATCTGAAATTAAAGAGCTATGTTCTATTACTGATTTGAGAAAAAGGAATTATAATTGTATAGTAAAAAATTATAGTTCAGATTTCTAATTTTATAGTTATTATTACTATAATGTTGATAATAATAAACCTGTGCATAATAATAATAACATTAACTTTATAGCTAGTGTTAAAAATAATTTATGATAATTATAACTATTGTGTTTTATCAATGTACGTACTCTGACATTACAAAATTAGTAATGTTTAAATCCACGTCCAAAATGTGGATACCTTTTCTCGATGTGACTAATAATTTAGGTATTGGATTTTCATGTGTAGTCGACACATTAATTAAATCCGTATAAGGACCAGCAACAATTTTAGTATGCGCACGTACTCGAAAATAATATGTCATGTTAGATGTTAGATTGTGCACCGTGTGCTCCAATTTTGTAGCTGTGATATTTTTATCATCGCAGATTTGAATGTCTTTTAAGTCCTCGATGAAAAAACATTGCACTGTGTACCCTTGTATTATTTCATCGATAAATTCAGGTTGGTTCCATCTGTAAAAACATAAAATTTTAGTCATTTTATATTTAACAAAATTATAACAGAATTAAAATTTTGATATATTAATGTCACTGAATTTAAGAAAAAGAGAGAAAAATGGAAGAATACAAACTGCGAATTTAGATTCCTTACTTCAATGTCACAAAAATGTCGTTTACTTTTTTTGCGAATTGACTGTCGAATTGTACAAATGCTCTGACAGATGTTGGCTTGCTCAAACTGTTTTCTAGAGATTTTAAGATCGTACATATTAACACAATTATATATAAGATTAAGGGGATTATCTCAATAAATCAGAAAGAATAATTTAATGTGAAAATAAAGGAAAGAGAAAAAATTAATGTAAACTACAAAATATGGAAATTAGCACAGTATTAATCTTTAAAAAAGTAATATAAGAATATTTTACGTCATTCACGATTTAGAAAACTACTCATTAATTCATGGCAAAAACGAATAAATAACTTTTAATACAATAACAAATACTTTTCGATAAATTCTTATAGCTTAAGAAATCAGAACTATAACATTTGCGATTGCTTTAAAACAAAATAGCAAATTAATAAAAATAACTTTAACTTAAATTATGACAATTTTTATGTATACTGTTTATATTATGCTTTTCTATTTCTTTTTTGGATGGAATTAGAATTTATATTCTTCTCACTACTGGAAGATATTTTTAGATATGATTTTTAGACTTTCTTTCCAATTTAAATTATTTACACTTTTTCATTATAGATTTTGTTATTAATATTTTATGCATTTTTTTGTAACTTTCTGTTAGGTTCTGGGATGATAGAAATATTTGCAAGTGTAACTTCATCGACTTCTCGCTTATTTTTCGCAGTACTATCATAATGATTCCGGTCAGATTTAAAATTTAGTACATAATGATCACTTTTTTCGGACTTCGAAATATCCTTCATAAAGTATAACATACAAAAATAAGAAATGATGCTAACTTTCTAAATTAATTTCATAAAATAAAATCTACATTAGTATAAAGCTTACTATATATCAATAAATATTATTATATATATCTAGGAAAATTAAAAAATTTTAAAAATTGAAGAAAAATAACATAAAAATCTGTTGAAGTGCCATCGTATGTATATATTAATGTAGCAGATAGTAGACAGAACACTTCATTAATTATAATAATTGTTATTATTAGAAATGATAATTATATATATATATGTATAGAGAGAGAAAGAAAGAAAATAATACAGTCAAATTTTAAAATACCGTTTTAATGAAATTTAATATAATAAAATATAATATAATTGTATATAAATGGATGTACAATGAAAATTAATATAAATTCGAATGATTCTTATTGAATATATTGTCGATCGAAATATCAGCGTTAATAGATACAACTTGAAAAATGTGTGTGTGTGTGTGTGTTTGATGAATGATTTTTTTATTAGACAGAGTTTCTATCTCGATATTTAGTAGCTCTGTTTCGTTATATAATTATCCCTAATACAAAGAAATGATTCTAACTTTCTAAATTAATTTTATAAAATAAAATTTACATTAGTATAAATCTTACTATATATCAATAAATATGATATATATCTAGAAAAATAAATAAATTTTAAAAATTGAAGAAAAATAACTAATAATTGAATTTGTTGAAGCGCCATCGTATGTATATTTTAATGTAGCAGATAGTAGATAAAATTTCATTAATTTTAAAAATTGTTATTTTTAGAAATAATAATTATATATGTATATGGAGGGAGGGAGGGTGGGAGGGAGGGGGGGAGAGAGAGAGAGAGACAAAATAATTTAGTCAAATTTTAAAATACCGTTTTAATTAAATTTAATATACTATATAACATCTATATGTAAACAAAATTTGGAAACTTTATTCATCTTTTTTTTACAACATTGTACATACTTTTTTCTTTCATATTGAATTGTATTTTTTAATCTTATCCTATTATAGGTAGAATATACGATTTATTACCATTCATTTTTAGTTACATTACTGCAATAACATTCAATTGTTTCTTAATCAAGCGAAAATATCTTTTACCTGCGTGAAATTTAAATCCGGATACATGGAAACATTTTCTTCCTGGAGGTTATTTGAAGTGATATAATCCTTCGGCGTAATAGTTGCCTTTGTCAGTACTAAATCTTTCAATAAAATACATAAAATTGTTCCAAACATAATTTGCATTTTTCGTAAACGTTTGCACTCAATCGGTTTCCGATGAATCCTCAATTAGTTGTTTTTCTCATTCTACTAGTTCTGATGTGTTAATCGAATTAATATTAATTCATATATATACATATATTTTCGTTAAATTTATATATATATATATATATATATATATATATATATTTTCATTAAATTCCTTAAAACTCAGTTTTAACGAATCACAAGTTATTATCTTTTAATATTATGTTTTTAGATTTCTCTTTATGGTCGCGATCACAGTATATATTTTAAGATTAAATTAGAGAATTCTTAGTAAGTAAATAGTTTTTATTTTTGTTGTAGAAGAACAAATGACAATCCAAAATGATATATATTCATTGAAATGTATCGCGAATATAAAAATATAATTATTATCAGCTTTTCGTTTTCATTAATATTATAGTAGAAAAACATCGATAAAAAGATAACTACAATCAAATTACAAACGATTAAAGAAGTTATAGAATTACAGATTTTGTAACATTTTCAATCATATTCAAGCACATGCAGCGTGTATTCGAATTCACTTAAGTATTTACTATATTTACTATATCTTTGATTTTGTTAAATATATAATTATGACGATTCGTTTGTACGATTGTGTTACTACGTATGCTTTTCAAAATCCACTATTTGTACACAATTTTTTGTGATATTCATATGATGCAGTTTGAATCGAGCGATAAGTAACGCGGTTTCGCGTGTGTTTCGCTAGCGATCACAAATAGTAACTGGCTTCGAATGATCAATCTGTTGCCATGACGTCTTATTTGCTTCATTCCGCTTGTAATTTATTTTTTTCCACTCGCGGAGATTGATATCAAATGAACAATTAACCTTTAATTATCAATTGTTAATAGACGTTTTATGAAACGTGGCTGTCGTCAATAAAAAACTTAAGTTATGCTATGATGCCCGAGGTAGCACACATTCGTTTTATATATGTTTCTTAAACGTATCCAATATTTTTTAATTGTAAGACATTAATAAGAAACGTTTCTAAAACCATAGTTAACAAAACATATTTTTCACGTTTTTAATATAGACAAAATAAAAACTAATTTTTGTTAATTTCAAATGATATATACATATATACATATATATACATATATATACATATATACATATATATACATATATACATATATATACATACATAAATATATATATATATATATATACAATATATATAATTATTACGAAAACTATATTAATTTCTATTATAACATCCAACACAGTATCAAGTCGTCTAAAGGTACTACTAACACAATACATTTTTTTTGTCACAAACATCTATTACTGACATCGTTAAGTCAACGAAAAGATGATTAAAAGTCGTCTCATGATCCGAATTCAGTGACTTTTTAGTCTTGTCCATATGTTGACTAAAAGATGACTTGATTCATTCTATATAGATTATCGACACTCGGTAGTAGAAATACTTCAATACACACAATAAATGGATTAATTCTCTAATTTATCCGGCTAGTTTCTAATAATCTGTTTAATATTTTGAATCTCAATAAGGAATCCAGATTATTAATAAATTATATAAATAAATATATATAAATAAATTATTTTAAATTCAATTTGTCAAAAATTAAACTGATAAACAGTAATGTCAGGAAAAAGATGCGGCTTGCATGCATACAATGCGTAGCACACGTGGCTCTCTCTGATTGATGCGTATGAGCATTATCCTCTTTCTGGCATTACTGCTCGTTAAAGTTCAAAAATATACTTTAAATTTTATATTAATTACTAATTCTTTATATACATTTCGTAATAAATATTAAATACGAGAAAAGTTAAGAGTGGCTTGGCGCGTAGCGGCAATCGAAGATGCACGTGCCACATATTATTATGTCTCTTTTATGTCATCTTTTTCGACAAAGCGAAAAGATGTCTTCATAGACATAATTTAAAAAATACATCTTTTCGTTATCTTTTAATATAATATGCTATGTGGGATGCTATTGTTTGTATATTATGGTATTGCTATCATTTGCTCGATGACATTCGAGCAGTAAAGTTTAGAAATTTTCCCCGATCTGTGGCCGTAAAGTAATATTCTCCATTCTCTAGGAGTAGTTTAGATTTATTTATATTGCTATATTTTGCAATATTTTGCGATATTTATGGGCGTAGTGTAATATTAATTATCTACGGATAATATAGATTTAATTACAATGCTATATTTTGTAATATTTTGCAATATCTTGGGGTGCAGAGTATTATTTTGTATTTAGAAGTAGTTTAGGTTTATATTGCGATATTTTGCGATATTTGTGGGTGCAGTGTAATATTAATTATCTACGGATAATATAGGTTTAATTACAATGCGATATTTTGCGATATTTTGCGATATCTTGGAGCGCAAAGTATTATTTTGTATCTAGGGGTAGTTTAGATTTATTTATATTGCGATATTTTGCGATATTTTGTGGCGCAGTTTTATATTCTCTAAAGAAAATATGTAAAATAGTGATGCGAAATGCTTCTATGCTAATTAATTGAAAAATAAATAATCGTTTAATTAATCTATAAATTCGAAAACTTCTACAATTTAATATTTTCATATGTACGTATATGTTATAACACGTAAAATATTTTGACAATGAATTATCAGTAACACGGTGTTCGACTTTGACAATATAAACAATATAAACAATAGCGCAATTTTGTTTATATGTCACGGCTTCGTTATGATTCGCACGGTGACACTCGAAAAATAAAGTAATGGTATCGAAACGCTTCGCATATTATCAAATATTTGTTTTAATTATTAATAATTATAAATTAATTAACTTATGATAAAGGACATGAAACTGTATCGCAACGATAAATCTTTATTGAATCGCAATCGATATTTCATTATTTTGACAATGCCTGTAATAAAATCAGTCAAATTTGTCAAAGAAAAAATTATTTAAAATTAAAAAACAAAAAGTGAAATAAATTAAATAAATAATGTAAACTAATAATAAATAAAAAAATAGAATAATGTAAAAAAAAAGGATTGTTAGGGCTATTAGGTGATTATCAAAAATAAAATAATGTAAAAAAAGGGATTGTTAGGGCTATTAGGTGATCATTAAAATTTTTTTAGGAAGGGACAAGTATGACAAGTGATGATAATTTTTTATGTTAATACAAAGGAATATAATAAACCATAAAATAATCCAAGAACTCGAAGAAGAGAATATGTTGAATAGAAATGCATAGTGATTGGAAACTGAAAGACAGTATGCATACAACCTATTTATTAATAGTAATGCTATTTTGTAATTATATTAAATTTTATAATTTAGTACATTGTATTATATGAAGTATTAAGCATAAAAGTTATGCTGGTACGAAAATTATAATAAAAATATATAAATAACGTTAGCTATACTAGAATGGAACATATGAACTTTTTATATAGTCAAATCTGGTTAAATGAGATCGCAAGGGACAGCTCATTTGATTCCACTTAAAGAGGTATCTCATTTACCCAATTTCTCAATTATCCAGGTTTAAAACGCGCATGTCTCACTTATAGAGATAATTATCAAATAAAAATACGTACATAAATTAAGTGTTCAAATAAACTTTATTATAATAAAATAAGCACTATGTCATTACACATGTGAAAAAATGTACAACGTAATACATTGTAAAAAAATTTTATTTAAAAAATATCTGTTTTCAATAACGCCATACACAACGTTGCAATGTAAAAACGATAATAATTTTATTTACAGAGGGTTTCTATGAGGTCGACTCAGTTATAGATAATAGTCTCAGTTATAAGTAATTATTGTTATGAGTTGCTAAATATCAGTCTCAGTTAAAGAGGTCGGGAATTTCTATTTACAGAGATTTTTTAATGCAAAACTGTTGGGACCTCAGAAATAGTCTCAGTAATAGAGATTTTCCCCTTATCTAGGTCCTACTTAACCAGGTTTAACTGTATTTTATATAGAAGAAGAGACTTAAAATATTTTGCAACATCTATATTTTTCGAGTCTTGATTATAAAAACTTCAGAAGAATCAGTGATATTAATTTGACAAGTTCTATACATATATTAATAATTAAATTTTTAAATAATTAAAAAAATAATTGATAAATATCAAAGATCAGTTTATTGCTAATTAAGAAGACTGATAGACGGTTAAAAATATTTTTATCCCACAGCAGGCATTTTGTGTTTTATTAATAAAAAAATATAAATATGACAATAAATATAGAAAAATATTTATTTCATCTTTAAATATTATAGTATCTTTCGCGATTAAATAATTTGTTCACTATCAATTTACATACATAACTATCTTGTTATGCACTGGTGCTACCGACATTTCGTGCACATAGCAATGAACAAAACCAGAAATTGTGCACATTATATATTACTCTCTAAGAAAATTCATGGACATTGGCTTTGTAATTCATGTCCACGTTTTCAATGTCCATAGAAGGAATATCGCTTTCAGGGATCACCTAAAAGCAGGCCATGACATCTCTCAGTCTTTTCTCTGACGCTATTTGTTATATACAGGATAGACTTAACATCGTGAGGACGTTAAACTGGAAATAAAGAAAAAAATTAAACATACTATTGGTATGATTGCAACGCAATCACCGTAACCATATATATATATATATATTTGCCTTCGACTGAGAAATGTAATCCTCATATTGGTATGACAATTGAGTAGAATTACAAAAGTAAAACTGCGTTCGTACAAAGAAAATTTAGGATATATAATATACATATTTTAAAATCATACATAAATAATTTTTTAACTTTTTTTCTATGAGGATATTGTGATATTGTACACATTGTAGTTATTGTAGATATTATAAGATTAAAAGTGCAATGTTAATATTGTATTGTGAAAAAATGAAATATATTAGAATATAGAAGAATATATGTAAAATTCATTTTCTATATATGTGCCAATATTTTTTGTGAATGCAACTTAATCTTAATCTTAAGCTTAATCTAGTCAAACTTTTTCATTGATAAACTAACCTCGATTTCCAAAATAGTACTCACAACATCGATTTCCAATTTCGACTCGATGATTTAGCGCTCGGTCATGTGCAATGTGTTACATAATTTTATAATTAAAGATAATTAAAAATTGACAAATAACAGCCAATAAAGCGCTCTGATGAGCGATACTCCTATTTCATTTAATATGTAGTATTATTTAAAATATTAAAATATTTGTGATTTTCGCGCAATAATTCTATCCATTTTTATTTTAACTTAAGATTTATAACTTGTGGATTTATGATTATTAGTATACTGTAGTATAAAGATTAGAATTATTCGAGAAAATGTGCTCGCCAGATTACTGCATCGTTGTATCTGTGCATCGATTATGAAATGGTTTATATAACCTCATATGTTATTTAATATTATTTATAACGCATAATATCATACATATCTATAAAACGTTGTCAGTATTTGGTGATCTTCCGAAATGATAGACCATAGATAGTAATTGTGTGCAAATATTATACATTATCAGCTTTATAATAAGTGGAGATAGAGCAATAAGTAGTTCATTTATACAATTGCATACTTTTCTAATCATTAATAATATAATTTAAATATATAGTAAATCATAAAATATAAATATAAAATATAAATATATACTTATTCCGAATGATGTAAAAAATCTTGCATAATAACTGTTATAAATTCAAAATAATTATATTATTATATTTATATATTCACAACTAATTATAGAGGATATTACTCGCGTATCCTCTTTCACTCATAAATTTTACAATCAGTTTGTAATTATTGGTTATATATAATGTCGAAAATTAATTATATTTCCATGTTGAAAAAAATATTGTTTATACATATATATATATATATATATATATATATATATAATCGCAATTATTAGGTTTCGCTTCAATTACACAAATTAGATATATCATCATATTATTTGATTTTGTACAATCATGAAAACGGATGTGATATTTTTTAATAATAATCAAAATTGTAAGGAAAGTAAGATTACAAAATTTAATTTTCATTGATACATGTAACATTAAGATTAAACCTAAAAATAATCAGATCAGAATCAATTTAGAAATATCCTAGAAATATTTTATCTACATTACATACAAGGTTTATTGAGTCGTTTGAAAAATAAGATAAGCAATAATTTAAGTATATCGGCTAAATAGTATCGACTGGACTTAGTAAGGCATCTCCTATGTTTTTTCTTAATGCTATAATATTTTTCAGACAAAATTTGAAATTTGGTCTAGCATCCGCTGCACTCCAGCAACTTAGCATCAACTGGTACAATGGTGACGGACAGTTAAGAGTCATCGGCAACCTGCCTCCAGCACGTACATAATTTACCACTTCTTCATTAGTCTTGGCACTATAAGGTTTCTCACCCAACGATGTAATTTCCCACATTACAACCCCAAATGACCAAACATCGCTTTGAGAAGTAAATATTTCAATCATCAAAGATTCGGGTGCCATCCAGCGAATAGGAAACCAACGTTCCTTTTTCTAAAACATGATTTAAACAAAAATTTAATGTTTTGATTCAAGTTGTTCATTTTTAGAATATGTGCAAAATGAAAAAAACGTTCATTTATGTCTTGCTTTACATAAATAAAAATTATTTATATTCTATATTACTTAAAGAAACAATGCACAATCCTATTATGATAAAAAAATGGAATGTATTTTCAAAAGAATTAATTTTTTAATCATTAATTTTTTTTCATAACTGTATACCATGCGATAATAATCATCCTTGTAGATATCTCTAGCTAGTCCAAAGTCTCCAATTTTGATGACATGATTCTCTCGATTCTTCGAAGATATTAAACAATTGCGACACGCTAGATCTCTATGTACGAAACGCAACTCTTCCAAGTAGCAACAACCTCGCGCAACATCTTCGCACATGGCGAGCAAATCCTGCAAACGCAAAGCAGGCGAATCTGACGCTTCCAAATTTCGACAATCTCTCAAATATTGTAACAGATTTGTTTCCATCAATTCCAACACTAGTAAAGGAGAATCCCCATCTGGACCTCCATCTAAACAAACGGCCAACAATCTTAATATATGTTTGTGTCGAAAACGATTCATAAGCTTGGCTTCCTCCAACAAATTCTTTTTCTCATGGGAAGAAGCATCTTTCCGAAGCGTTTTTATTGCAACGGATATCTCTGTGCCCGATCTTTCTAAGTTCTTCACATTTCCTTGAAACACCTGCAAAATATTTCACACAAATTTACATGCATACTTCATTAGAAAATGTATATAGTTTAATGTCAAGTAATATTATATTTTACTTTATATTAAATAATTCAACAAAAATGTATAATAAAGTGGATGTTTGTTGTCTCATTTAAATTTTATATTACTTATAATCTATTATAAAAATTTATGTAATTTATATCTTTATTAGAAAATACATATATGTTTTGTTAATCCAAAAATTAATTTGAATCATTGCTTGAAAAAATTAATTTTTACCTTTCCGAATGCGCCACTACCAAGCCGTTTTGTAAATGTAATCTGTTTACGTGCGACTATGGTTACCGCACATTCATCTGGATTATAATGTAACGTAGAATTGTCAATCATGAATTGAGTGTTTCGCCAAGGTACATGTAGAATCGTCAATTCCATATCGACCATTGTTGAAGACAAAAATTGTTCATTATTACCTCTGCGATGCACTGTTATGAAATTTCGAGTTAATTATGTAATAATATGTATTATAAAATCTATTGTTTTTAATAAATTTATTCGTTTAGTATTATATAAGTAAATTACTATTTTCAGTAAATCTCTAGATATTATATCAGTTATATATGTATAATCTACAATTCAAGTCGATATCTAAATCAAATATACTTACAATAATAAAAGTAATAGACGCAGATTATAATAATTATAACAATAAAACTTAACATCAATAATAAGTAATATTCTTTCGCTATTATTCCAGGCGTAATCGGAATATCTATATTAAGCAAAAATATAATTTTAATATCTTCGTCTATGTATATTTTTACAAATTTATTTTTACTTATAACTTTAATACAAAATATAATTTTTAAAATTTTAGGCATATACATATCTAAAATAATTAGAACATAATATCTATGCACAGCACAGAATATTACAATTTCTTTGTAACAATATTGCAATATTACATATAGGAGTATATAGAACATTTAAAATAAAAAAAGTGATTCGTAAGTAAGAGCTTAAAGTAATTTTGTATAAAAATATAACATTTTATGTTAAATGATTATGTTGAAATATAATTTTGCAATATATTATCTTAGATACGGTATATACTTAGATATATTATCTTAGATATTGCAAATCTCTATTTATATAAAGCTTTTTAATTTAATTTAATGTTTTCAAAATATCAAAAACGAAAATATGATTGCAATAATATTGCATTCTGTCCAATATATTACACTGTAATATTGTTACAATATTTCATTGCAAAAAGCGGGCATCTTAACTTCATCACAATCTTATTACAATAATTCAGCAGAATATCACAATCGATTTGCAATATTGCAATATTTCAATAAAATTATTCTTCAATATATCCATGCAATCTTATTGTACTGTATGGGTATCTTCGTTTGCTTACCAAGTGTTGAAAAAATAAATCTTTCATCAGTCGGCCATGTAAAATTTTCCTCATATTCGGGATATCTCAATATCAAGCGAAACATGTATAAGGTTCCTGATTGTAAATTTTCGACATGGTATGTTACTTCTTTGTTATAATTCATTTTAATATAATTCATTGTTTGCCACTTTTCTGCTACAATATCTTTGTACTCTAGTGTACAAAACATCGTCAGATTAATGTTGGAGATCCATGAAATGTTCATGCTATTTATGTTGACCTCGCTCGAAGTAATATTGTTTGGTTCTGAATATATGTGAACGATCTTGCTTAAACTCTCGTTGTAGAAATTGCTGAAATTAATTGGATACACACGCACGTATATCAAGTAATGTTGTACTGGTAGCGACAAATTAATCTTTGTGAAAAATCTGCCGTCTGTTGTACGTTCCTGCATATTGATAAATTGTTTGCTCTTTTGTTGCGTTCCGTTCATTAATGTAACTGACTTCCAATGCACTTCGTAGGTCACGGGCACGCAGTTCACCTTCTTAGGTGGCATCCAATGAACTGCTGCTACAGTAGGCGTCAAAGCAAGAACACTTATGTTTTCTGGTGCATTAAGCTTGTTCAAATTAGTTTTTATTGATATCACATTCGAATCGAATGGATTTATTGATAATTGATCAAAGTAAAAATTGCTTAAAGTAAACTTCAACTTGTACTCTGTAAATGGTGTTAAGTTCTGAATCTCGTAATATCGCTCGCTCGTCATCACATTGAATTTCTCAGTCTTGTTGAGATTGCTATCTAAACAATGGCTTACAGAGATAGTATATATAGTAGTTGGTAAATTATATTTTTTACATCCATTCTTTACAACCGGCTCTGGAAAATTTATAATAATGCTGTTTGCCGTTGCATTCACATTCTCAAAATTGTAAACTTTTTCGTACGGTGTCAGACAACTCATTGGAGGATATGATTGTGAAGATTTATCAAAAGCGTAAATTTTATAAAACACATTTTTATCTGAGCTTATTGGTATTTTTTTTACATATCTGTATGCATTTTGGATCTTGAGACTTGCATATTTCTTTTTCAAAACGTAGAGAATATATACAGACTTATATTGAAAATTATATGTTAAAATGTAAATGTTTGTTTTGTCAATCGTCATAGATTTGAATTTGATGTCATCACTTATGTCTTCCTTGCATAAAATCTTATTGAACTTAGAAATATTAATGTCTGTTACAATTGTACTCCAATCATTTAACCAATAAATTAACGACTCTTCATTATTCATGTTATCAATTATCATATTACTAAAAGGATGTATATAATGAAATAGGAAAAAGGAAGCATTTATCGCAACAATTTGGTCGTTTTTTCCATCGAGATGATATTTCATCATATCATATTCTCCATTCATCCAATTGTATGACATGCGATATAAAATTCTAAAAAATATATAATTATTTTACTCATTATAAAACATTATTTAAAAAAGACAGAACTTTATATGTGGTAAAAATTTAAAATTCTTATAATTATATAATAACTTATGATGTCTTTTTACTTATGATCTTAATTATAAAATTACATAAATTATGTATTATAAAAAAATTACAAATTTGCATAAATCTTTAATGGAAAATTGTTTTTTCAGGTGAACGATAGTAGACATACCCCATAGACGGTAATACATTTAAATAGTCATTAGCAAATTTTTTTTTCACAATTTTATCAAATTTAATTATGCCATTTTCCCACATTGTTAAGTCGAACTTTATAATGTAAGAGTAGTCTGACTTTTGATAGGTCAAATATAGATTTCTTGCTACCCAGTCAATGCAGAGATCATGTAGATCATGATCAAAGCTATCTATTTTTGTGATATTATTTTCATTAATCTTCAATGTCATTAGGTCTCTTTGGGTTATCCAATAAATTCTATATTCTTGTATCGAATAAGCGACATCTATTAATTCTGATCTAAAAAACGGAGCCAACTATAATAGTATATTAAAAAAATTATAGTTGAGATTTCTAATTTTATAATTATTACTACTATAATGTTGATAATAAACTTGTGCTATAATGTTAATAATAAACTCTTGTGCGTAGTAATAATAACTTTAACTTTATAGTGTCAAAAATAATTTCATAATTCTAACTATTTTTTTTTATCAGTTATACGTACTGTGGCGACATTTCAAAATTAGTAATGGTGTTTAAATCCACGTCCCATATTTGGATATTTTGATTCGTTGTAAGTAATAATTTAGGTATTGGATTTTCATGTGTAGTCGACACATTGATTAAATCCGTGTAAGGTCCAGCAACAATTTTAGTACGCGCACGTACTCGAAAATAATATGTCGTGTTAAATGTTAGATTGTGAACCGTGTGCTCCAATTCTGTAGTTGTAATATTTTTATCGTCGCAGATTTGAATCTTTTTTAAGTCCTCGATAAAAAAACATTGCACTGTGTATCCTTGTATTACTTCATTAAATTCAGATTGATTCCATCTGTAAAATAAATAAAATTTTAGTCATTTTATATTTAACAAAATTATAACAGAATTGATATTTTGATATGTCGCTGAATTTAAGAAAAAGAGAGAAAAATAAAAAAAATACAAACTGAGAATTTAGATTCCTTACCTCAATGTCACAAAAATGTCGTTTACTTTTTCTGTGAATTGACTGTCGAATTGTACAAATGCTCTGAGAGATGTTGGCTTGTTCAAACTGTTTTCTAGAAATTTTAAGACCGTACATATTAACATAATTATATATAAGATTAAGTGGATTATCTTAGTACATCAGAAAGATCAATTTAAAAATAAAGGAAAGAGAAAAAATACATGTAAAGTACAAAATATGGAAATTAGGACAGTATTGACCTTTAAAAAGTAATATAAAAATTTTTTGCGTCATTTAAGATTTAGAAATGTAATCGTTGATTCATGGTAAAAACAAATAAATAATACTTTTAATAAAATGACAAGTACTATTCGAAAAATTCCTATAGCTTAGGAAATCAAAAGTATAATACTTGCGATTGCTTTAAAACAAAGTAGCAAATTAATAATATGTATATATATATATATATATATATATATATATATATATATACACATATATGTAATAATATATTTTCTTATATTTATTTATTTTTTTTATTGTATATATGCGATGAATTTTTTGCACATAAAGTTAAATGAATTAAAGGCACAGAAATAATCAGTCGAGTTAAAAAAATATAATTCTAAGATAAAAATTCTAAAGATAAAAATTGCTATTTTTTTCTATTAAAGAATATAAATAACATTTTATATCATCGTTATATATATTTTATGATATATTTTCAATACACTCATACAAATATAGTTTTAATAGATTTTCAAAGATATATTTTTAATATATTTTTTTAATTATATTAAGAGAACAAATAATATTTTATCTAACATTATAATTTTTTATTTTTACTTTTCGATGCATTTTTATGTATATTTCATATGCAAGTACATGTAATTGTATTTTTGAAATTTTTTAAATAAAATTATAATTAGTTATAAATGTATAATGAATTCCAATTAATGTTTATATATTTGTACTCCATTATAACAGTATACGGAACATTTAACATAAAAAAAGTGATTCGAATAAGTAAAAGTTTAAAGTAATTTTATATCCAAAATATAATATTTTATATTTTAATTGTAAATAATTTAATATCGCTAGTCAAAAAATCAAAGGATCAATTGAAAAATTGTAGTCGACCAAAACTAGCCAAAAAATTAAGTTTATTAATACGACGTTTCGACCATATGGTTGTGGTCCTTATCAAGTATACACGATGTAATAAAAATCAGAAGGCAAGCATTAATGGTAAACATGTAAAACAACGCAATCACGTAATACAAAAAACGTTATTCAGTTTCTTGACGAAGTCTCACAGGGACGCATCAGCTTCTCTCAAATTTGAATCTAGTTAAATAACGTTTTTTGTATTACGTGATTGCGTTGTTTTACATGCTTACCATTAATGCTTACCTTCTGATTTTTATTACATCGTGTATACTTGATAAGGACCACAACCATATGGTCGAAACGTCGTATTAATAAACTTAATTTTTTGGCTAGTTTTGCTCGACTACAATTTTTCAATTAATCCTTTATTTTATATTTTAGTTATACGATTATGTTTAAATATAATATTACTATATATATATATATATATATATATATATATATATATATATATTAGATATGAAATAATTGAAAACTTCTATTTACATCAAGCTTTTTAATTTAATTATACATATATGCATCCGAGATAATTATCTGTCAGAAACAAGAATATTCTATATGTAATATTATTAAATGGTTGCAATAACATTGCATTCTTTCAAATATAATCCACTGCAATGTTGCTATAATATATACTTTATTGCAATATTGCAATACTTCAATAAAATTATTCTTCAATATATCTATGCAATCTTATTGTGCTGTATGAGTATTTTCAGTTGCTTACTGCTAAGTGTTGGAAAAACAAATCTTTCATCAGCCGGCCATATAAAATTTTCTTCATACTCGAAATACCTCAATATCAAACGAAACATGTATGAAGTTCCCGATTGTAAATTTCCGATATGATAAGTTGCTTCTTTGTTATAATTCATTTCAATATAATGCATTGGTTGCCACTTTTTTGTTCCAACCTCTTTGTACTCCAGTGTACAAAACATCGACAGATTAATGTTGGAGATCCATGAAATGTTCATGCTATTTATGTTGACCTCGCTCAAAGTAATATTGTTTGGTTCTGAATATATGTGAACGAAGCTTAAACTATTGTTGTACAAATCGCTGAAATTATTTGGATATACACGCACGTATATCAAGTAATCTTGTACTGGCGGTAAGTTAATCTTTGTGAAAAATCTGCCGTCTGCCATACGTTTCGGCACATTGATAAATTGTTTGCCCTTTTGTTGCGTGCCGTTCACTAATGTAACTGACTTCCAATGCACTTCGTAGGTCAGGCCCGCGCAGTTTAATTTCTTGAGTGGCATCCAATGAACTACTGCTATAGTAAGCGTCAAAGCTAAAACACTTATGTTTTCTGGTGCATTAGGCCTGCTCAAATTAGTTTTTATTGGTATCACATTCGAATCGAATGGATTTATTGATAATTGATCAAAGTAAAAATTGCTTAAAGTAAACTTCAACTTGTACTCTGTAAATGGTGTTAAGTTCTGAATCTCGTAATATCGCTCGCTCGTCAGCACATTGAATTTTTCAGTCTTGTTGAGATTGTTGTCTAAACAGCTTACAGAGATAGTATATATAGTAGTCGGTAAATTATATTTTTTGCATCCACTCTTTATAACCGGCTCCGAAAGATTTACAATGATGCTGTTTGCCGTTGCAGTCACATTCCCAAAATTGTAAACTTTTTCGTAAGGTGTCAGACATCTCATTGGAGGATATGGTTGTACAGATTTATCAAAAACGTAAATTTTACTCAAAAATTGCTTTAAGCGTATTATTGTCTTTTCAACATATTTGGCTGCATTTCGGCTCTTGAGACTTGCATATTTCTTTTTCAAAACGTACATACGTGTATATGAACGCGCGTCGGGAAAATATCTTTTAAATGTGAAAATGTAGATATTTGTTTTGTCAATCGTCATAGATTGGAAGTCGATGTTAGGTCTTATGTTTTCCTTGTGTAAAATCGTATTGTACATCGAAATGTTAATGTCTGTTACAATTAAGTAATCCTTACTTAACCAGTAAATTAACGGCTCCTCATTATTCATGTCATCAATTATTATATCACGAAAAATATTTTTAAAATGAAATTGGAAAAAGAATGTATTTATCTTAACAGGTTGCTCGATTTCTCCATCGAGATGATATTTCACCATACTATATTCTGTCATTGTCCTATT